TAAAGAATCTGCCTGAAATGCAGGAGACCCCAGTTCGGTTCCTGGGTTGGGAAGAGTCCCTGCAGAAGGGATAGGCTACCCATTCCTGTATTCTCAGGCTCCCCTGGTGGCTCAGACGGTAAAGAATCTGCCCGCAATGCGGGAAGCCTTAGTTCAATCCCTGGGTTGGGCAGATCCCGTGGAGGAATGCATGGCAACCCAGTCTAGTATTCTTGCCTGGAGAATCCCTATGGACAAAGGAGCCTTGCAGTTTGCAGTCCATGGGTTGCAGAATCAGACATGACTGAGCAACTAAACATATTAATTCAGCATAGCAAAGGAAAGCACTAAACATTTCCCACCCTTCTGTAGCACCTCTTGGGCCAAGAAGAGTACTCAACATGTGTAGTCTTTGAGCAATGGAAATGAGTCCCTCCAAGTAACCTGCATTGTGTTTGCTTGCGTGGAGCTATCCCAGTGCTCATCCCCTCCCCCTGGTGGTCAATGGAAGTCATTTTCATGCTGTCACTAGGCTTTGGTTGGCAGCCTCTACTTGGAAGATCCCAAGATCAAATCCCATACCAAAATGCAAACAGGGTTTTTTCACTATCTTAACTATTTTACTTGGGAAGGGAAATTGACTGTGTCATCAAGAAAAACTGAAGATGATATTTTCTATGTTTGCTACATATATTTGTGCAGCATAGTATGTATGTTGTTTTTGCTTTAATTCCCTAAGTCCCTTGGTCTATATTGCCTGCCCACTGACTGGCATAATGGAAAGCTATGTAGAAGGGCAGGAAGCAGGGGCTTTGATCCTGGCTCTGCTGACTTCTCTCCAGCTTTGTACAAGTTGTCCCTCTCCGCTAGCTGGGAGGGGGATTTCAAAACCTCTAAGAAGCAAACAGACCGAACTAGACAATTTCCAAGGTCCCTCCCAGCTGTAATATTCAGGAATTCCACTGGAACATGCTCTGATTACACTCAAATAAGAGCCCTGGTACAGTGTGGACACTGGCGAAAAGAAGGGAAAGAAACAGTGAAAATACATACACAGTAGAAACAATAGGGCTGGTCTCGGATTATGTCAGATCTGGGGAGATCCAGGCCCCTTGTTGGAAGTGGGAATTTAGAAGCATTTGGCTTAAAGGAAAATGGTGTGGGACCAGCTGATTCTTAAGAGGCTAACATCACCAAGACTGCTTATAGGAGCTAGGAAAGCAGTCGCTTCACTTTATGGTTACAGTCGTTTATGGGTGATTGGCAGAGAGGAAAAGGCAGTGGATGGAGTGTAGAGGAGAGACAGGCTGTGGGGTCAGATGAATATGAATATAGCTTCTAATCCCAGGTCTGCCTCTTACCCTCTCTGTGTTTCAGCCTTCTCATCTGTAATAGAAGTAAGAGAGTATCTATGGTATGATATTATGAGGATGAGATGAGACAGTATGTATGTAAAGTGCTTTAGTATAATTAATACCTGTTATACTTGGTAAGTATAATTAATACTTGTTTACTTGGTAAGTGGGCTTCCCAGGTGGCGCTAGTGGTAAAGAATCTGCCTGCCAATGCAGGAGACGTAAGAGACATGGGTTTGTTCTCTGGGTTGGGAAGACCCCCTGGAGGAGGGCATAGCAACCCACTCCAGTATTCTTGCCTGGAGAATCCCATGAACAGAGGAGCCTGGTGGGCTACAGTCCATAGGGTCACACACAGTCACACAGGACTGAAGCGACTTAGCACGCATGCATGCATACTTGGTAAGTAGGTTGTAAATAGTATTTACTATTATAGTGAATGAAACTGTTTTAAATGCCTGCTATATGAAAGGATGCAAAGTCAATGCTTTGAAAAAGTTATTTTTTATGCTCACACAACATTTATATAGATGAGGAGAAGGAACCTTAGACAGGTGAAACTAGTTCCTGCATTTATTCATCCTTCCACTTCATTCATTCAAGAAGCATAGGGATCTCTGTTATGTGCCAGACACTGTGGCAAGAATTGAGAATTTACAATAGCCTCTTCCATCAGAGAAGTCACAGTCCAGGGCCACATAGCTGAGAATGATAGCAAATAGTGAGCACCTGCTATGTGCCAGGCACTCTCCTAAGCATACTGTATTAACTCAAATGAATTACTGTATTTAATTCTCATGGCTGGGGCACACCATTTTACAGATGAGGAAACTAAGGCAGAGAGCCGTTATGATAAGTAAATTGCCTGAGATCACACAACTAGGAAGTGGCAAAGCATGGACTTAAATCTAGGCAGATAGACTCCAGAATCTTGAGTTCTTAGCCACTTCATTACAGCTGCCTCTTAGTAAGTGGTTTAAAGCCACATCCCTGACTGCACAGGCCCTTTGTTGTTGTTTTCAGTTACTCAGCGTGACCCCATAGACTGCAACACACCAGGCTTCCCTGTCTTTCACCATCTCCTGGAGCTTGCTCAAACTCATGTCCACTAAGTCGGTGATGCCATCCAATCAGCTCATCCTCTGTCATCCCCTTTTCCTCCTGCCTTCAGTCTTTCTCAGCATCAGGGTCTTTTCTGAGTCAGTTCTTCTCATGTGGCCAAAATATTGGGGCTTCAGCATCAGGCACAGGCCCTCCCACTGGGATATAAGTACCGTATCTCAGGATGCCAGCAGCAGCCCCCTTCCCTCTTTTGTTTTCTCCTTAACCTTGTTCTTTGAATCTGTGGCCTCACCTCTTTTGATTTCTCGAGGCTACAAGATTGCTTTTGACCAAATTTTGAGACAGGAGAGTAGGTAGAAACCCCCAGGTTAACAGGGAGTAGTTGCTGAGACTGGGAAAGAAAAGTTGAGATCTGCTAGCAGAATCTGAGTAAATTCGGATGTCTGTGGGGTCAGACTTGGAGCCTAAATGAAAGAGAAGTGACCTGGGGCATACAAAAGTGTTTCCTCTCTCTCTCAATGCTGCTAAATGGAAAACAATAATAACATGAGGGTAACCGTCACTTGGCTCCTGAATCAGGGAGACAGTAGGGAATGATAGGGACTGAGGCAGACTGGAAAATGTCTAGAGAGGGAGCCATTGCTCAGTTCTGGTTGATTGTTGGCCTGAAGCAATGGGGACCTCCTTTTCCGAAAGGAATGGACATCTAGATTTTTATGACAGATCTACATTTCCTAGTTGTTGGCAGCTACTTCCCTTTTACATCTCTTAACAGTGATGACCACTACTGTGGGGCAAGTAAACATTTCTGTAGGCTAGACTCAGAAGGCAAACCCTTGTGGCAAATATTGAGTGAGCTGTTCTCTTTTAGGGGCTGGAGAGAAGCCAACCGGATTTAGCCTTGGGTATGAACAGGAAGGAGAGAGCTGGGGGAAGAGAAAGCTCCCAAAGACAAAGCGAAAATAGTCACACGTGGCAATCAGTGACTGTTGTCTGCTGTCTTGCATCTGTCTCGGGCGCCTTCCGAGTGTGTCTCACGTAGCCTAGTTTACAGAGGAAGGTGGGCAAGTCTGCCCTGATGAACCCACAGACCTACACAAGCTCCGTCCCTTCCTTGCTTTCTGTGCCCGAGGCTCTCTTGTGCAAGAGTAAACAGAATTTGACTGGCTTTTTTTGGGGGGTGGGGGGAGGGTTGTTGTTCTCTTCGAGGCAAACAAATACAAGCAACCAGACTTGTTTTTACCAAGGATTTGAAAAAGGGCAAAGACAACTTGCAACTCTAGAGGCCAGATTCAGGGTCAGTTTTCCCTCCTCAAGTTAACATTAACCTTTAGGTAAACGAGCCACTCCTCCTAGAGGGCTTGGTAAACAGGAGCCATTGTGGGGGCCAGGGGAGGGGAGCCGGCCGTTTACCCGGCAGGAAGCGAGCCGTCCAAGGTCAAGATTTCATGTACTGCAGTCCTCTTGAACTTTTCCAAGAATATGCCTGTTCGCTGAGAAAAACTGACGCACAACGCCCAGGTTTCATCCGTTAATTGCACTGAGTACAACCTTTCTCCCCCTGCTCAGGGCAGGCGTCACCGCAGATGGCTTGGCTGTGAGGAACAGCCCTTTTCAGCAAGAGAGAGAAACAAGTGGCAGTTCTTGGCCACTTCACAGCTCTGCTGTTCCTCTCAGTGGTGGCTACGAGCATTCAGTGAGATGGTGTATGTGAAAATTCTTTGGAACACCTAAGGAATTATGTCCATGTAGGGTTTTATTATTAAATTATTCATAGGTAGCCTCTGAATTAGAGCACCCTCCCCCATTTTGGTTTGAAAAAGAAATGGAGAGTGGTGGCAGGGTATCGTAATGTTAAATAAAACACGGCTGTAAGGTATCAAACTTGTCTGGAATTAGCAAAGTTGGGTATAGAGGGGAGGTGATTCCCAAGAGGTTGTGTGACTCTGGTGAGCCTGGTGTAATTGCAGGTTGCTGGTGGTAGTTGAAAAATTGTTGGAATCCTTCTGGGAAATAACATGGTGATATAAATAAATAATTAAAATATCAGAGGCTACATAATTTCCATATTCATTAACTTAGTCATTCTGGTTCTGGATAAATATCTTAAGAATATAATCCTAAAGAAATAAAGGCTCTTCTACACATGAAAGTGTGCATTTTAGAGCTATTTATATAATAGCAGGATTGAAAGCAATTTTCATTGTCAATATCTGCATTTAATTGCAATAGCTGGTTAAATTCAGACACATTCCTTCAGTGGGATATTATTACACAATGATGAAAAGCTAGAACTATGTAAACTTTGCCACAACCAAAAGAATAGTTATGATATGATAGTAAAGGACAAAAAGCAGGTCAAATGTTGTTTATTATGCAATTATAATTATATAAGACTTTTAATTATATAAGACATATATATAAGACATATAATTATATAAGACTAATGATAATTAGAATTTTAGAATAAAAAGGAATATACAAGGGATTCCTCTCTGGTCCAGTCTCTCAGACTTTGTCTTCCCATGTAGGAGACACAGGTTTGATCCCTGGACCAGGAACTAAGATTTCACCTGCCTTGCGGCCAAAAACCAAAACATAAAACAGAAGCAGTTTTGTAACAAATTCAATAAAGACTTATAAAATTGTCCACATTCAAAAATAGTCTTTAAAAAGAATACACGAAAAAGCCAAAGTTGCTCTGTTAGTTACAGGTGGCTTCCCACCTTGCCCTTTTCTGAGCTTCCTTTAATGTTATAACATTAACAATATTTCAATGATAATAATAAATTAGAACAAATTGTAGTAAAGATATTAACCATCTTTTAAAAGCCAAGGAGTTTTGAGGAAAGAATAGGGTAATTAGCAAGAGGACTATTGGCATCAAATCAGAGGGATTAAAATAATGAAGAGGTTGGTGGGGTTTGGGGAGGTGAGGAGAGGAGGAGGAAGCACCAGAAATCTGGTTTTATGGTCATAGAAGCCTCAGATGTGAAGGGGATATGAATCAGTTCATTGGGCCTGGGCAGTTCTGGGTACCCAAAGCACATTCCTAAGGATTAGTGAAGCAAAACCATGTCAAAGAACTTGATATTTGAAATTTCAAGCAAGCATCAAGGAAGTCATCATGGAGGTGGGGTTGGGATGAGAACTTTGCTGGACTTCCTTGTAGGTATTTTATGATTTTTTCATGCTTTTATTTTGAATTGGATGGTGAGGGAGATACTGTAGCCTCTTCTGTGGTTGAAGTCTCTGAAGGGTTGCATCTGACCCTGGGCTGGAGTCTTGCTCAGTCAGCTACAAGTCAGTCCATCACTTGTGAATGCCAGTTGTGTTCATTCTCAGGCCAGCAAATTGCATGAGGGTTGTTTGGTGCAGCGCCTGAATAGTTAACAGACCTCCTCAAAGCACCCCATTTACAGCCACAGGGACCAACTCCCTCAGCTAGGGAGGCTCATAGTTCTGAGGCTGTCTCCAGACACTCACTCAGTTTTAATAATGAGACTGTTTACCTGGTACCAGGCATAGCATCTCAGCTTGCTATGATGCTGAAAACCCCAGGAGGGAAAAACCAAGGCCAGAGTTGGCTGAGTGAGTCCCCAAGGTCATAGTCATGGCAAAAGGTGGAATCAGCTCCCTGCTGGAGTGTGCAAAAACCATGGAGGTGAGGTGGCATTTCATAACACTGCAACCTGTTTTCTGGTTCTGAGTGCTGGCCCACCGCCCACATGAGCAAGGGAGGGGATCCCCCTGCAGGTGGATCTGAGTAACTGCCATTCTGTTTGCCCTCTCTCCAGGGTAGGGGGGCAGTCCCCCGAGCCTCCTCGCAGGCAGGGGAGATGCTCCAGAGCCTACCTTTGGAAGAAGAGGAAGGGACAGACTCAGAAGAGAAAGAGGACGGTTCTATAGAAGATTCAAAAGAAATCAACACCATGGCTTTTGTGAGAGAGAACACTGGGGCGCAAAAGGGACTTCAGAGTGCCCATTCGCAAGGCAAGAAGAAGAGGAAGAAAAAGAGGTTAGGATTGCAAGATGGGGAATGGGGATCCATGTTGGGAAAAGCTGGAGGGACCTGGAGGGGAGGGGGCCTCAGCGGCTAAGGAGTAGGTAAAGGAGAAACTGTGGAGTAAGTCACACCATTTTTGGTTCATATAAAAAGAACCTACTTTTGATTATCTGTTTTATAGAATCAAAGAATGCTGTGTGTAATCTAAAACCACACCTGTCCTAATCTTCATTCTGTTGTGTGGGGAGAAAATTGTGTGGGGAGGGACAATTTTCTCATTTTAAGAGAGTACTTATTGTCTTGGGGGTGTAGGATACTTTAAGTGTAACAGAACCACGTTGATTTCTTAGGATCTGACTGTGGCTTCTGTATTCCAGTTCTTATTTAATATTTTGCCATACCCTACTCCATTCTTGGGGGAGGGTGGAATGAATCACTTCTCAGACTGATTGATATCTGACATCTTCTCCGATTTCTAACTCATAGTTTCCCTTAATTGGGGGCAATAGGAGGGACACCATTAAATATTTTGGCCAAAAAGATGTTCACTTCCTATTCCTGATGGGCCACTGGAATTAGAGGATTGAGGAGTGATGATGTAAATGTGAAGCTTTAAGCAAAATCAGCCATAAACACAATACAGAATTTCTAGCTCATAGGCAGAGCAACAGTACTCTGCACCAAAGTTTTCTGTCACTATGCAGCTACAGGGATATGTATCCTCAGTAACAGGGATGGTCAAAGCAGGCTCAGTGTGGCCACTGAGATTTCACTCAGCTCCCATGGGACTGGATGTTTCTGCATGCTGTCACTTGTTCTGGCAAGTGTGTCTGTCTCTGTCTTGGTGCTTTCCCCTTTCTCTTTTCCAGATGATTGGTGATCAATCTATCCAGCTGCCGATATGAGAGTGGTGAGCATCTGCCTTCAATGCATCCACCATGGGGATCCCACTGGATTCCCCCAAAGAGTTGGGAAGGGTCACTTATATATTCCTGAGGATGGGAAGGGGGTGTCTGCTAATTGTGTTCTTTGCATCTCCCAGTCCAATTAACTATTTGAGAAAGTTGGGAATCTCATTCCAAGAAAATATGAGTTTTGATCTCGTATTGCTGAGATCTCATTTGAGATCATTTGATCTCATAGTGGTGTGTACTTCCACTATCTGTAGTTCCCATGTATGGTTATTGGGGGATCTATTGAAGAGCTGGCAGCGATGGCTGCAATCATTGGCTCTTTTTTGGAGCACAAGTTACAAACTGGCGGTCCGTGGGCTAAAGATGACCTGCAGACCTACTTTGACTGCAGAGCAGAGTGTTATTATTTTCACTTTGAATTTGGGTGCTTTAGGCTGGTCCTGACTCTTCTGGTCACTATAGGCACTTCTGCCTTTCCAGGTCCTTGAAGGTATTTGAATTTATGTTGGAGTCAGCTCCCAGTTATTAATAGGGACCAGGAAAGAAGGATGTGTGTGGTTTTGAAATACACTGTGTAGTTTTCTTCTGTCAATTTACCTTACTAATTAAGCTTGGTTTTGGCTGACGTTAAGGATTAGTTTATATTCCCTGAACACTCAGTGCTAGTGTTTGGAGGAAAGCCAAAGGCCTGCTTCCTGGCAAGGGTGGGTGAAACACTGACCTCAGAAAACCTTCTGTGGTGATCACTGGGCACCAGCCGCACTCTCCAATAGCTTTCTATTCTCTGTGTTCCTTTCTTGGCAAAAGTGTGTCCAGATGGGGCAAGATGGCTTCCGGTCCCAAGGAGCCCACTAGTCTGGCTTCCGTGTACAGTCTGGGAGCACCTAGAAACGTAACCTCCCCCTCTTGTGCTCCTTCCCCACCTCCCCCCTGATGGGTCTTTCTTCCTCCCCCTCCTGGCAGTGCGTAGGGCCGCCCAACAGTATGGCCTTCGAGAGGGAGGAGAAAGTGATGACTGGACGCTCTACTGGACTGACTTCTCAGTGTCACTGGAACGGGTGATGGAAATGAAAAGTTACCAGGTATCTGGGTCAGAGCTGGTCCTCAGTGTAAGCATGGCATCAACCCTGTGGGGCCCCACTCTTATGACTGACCCCAAAGGGGAGCTCGTGGGTGCTCCTGTGGGCCCCATTGTTCATGACTTCTGGCTTCCTTTGCAGAAAATCAATCACTTCCCAGGGATGAGTGAAATCTGCCGCAAGGACTTGCTGGCCAGGAATATGAGCCGCATGTTGAAGATGTTCCCGAAAGATTTCCACTTTTTCCCGAGGACCTGGTGTCTTCCTGCTGAGTGAGTGCCCCTTTCTCCACTCCCCAGCCCCAGTTTACATTTTCTTCTTGCCCCTAACCCTGGTTACTACTTTCCCTTCCCATTGGATCTCCCATCTCTCTCTTTTCAGGAAGAGAAGGGATAAAGGGCGTATCCGAGGTTGAAAAAACACAAGGCTCCACCTGTAAAAGTAGATGACATTTAGGGGCTGGGTGCCTTGGAGCCTGTGCCTGCAGTTGGGATGAGAGTTTGTTCTGACCTTGAAAGCTGTTGATTTTGAACTTGTTCCAGTCTTTTCACTGCGCAGTTTCTGAATTTTTGAGGCCTTCGAGCACTTCTGGAGGGAGTGAGGTGATGGTTAGAGCCCTCTAACCATTAGGAGCAGGGAGGGATACCTGACCTCTGACCCATGGCAGGACATGGCAGTCAGCCTTTTCCCATCTCTGTCTCACTATATCCATCTGGAAACTGGACATCCATTCCTGGTACATAAAGTACTCTGGACCACACCGCTGAGAAGCAGGAGAACTGTGAGGTGACATGAGCATGACTTGGGTACAGTCCGGTGTCTGGATGAGGTGGGGGTACAGAAGCACTGCCATCAGAATGATGTTCACAAGGCAGGGGCCCCACAGGAGTCCCACTGTCCCCTCTCCACTGAGTGCTTTCCCAAACCAAGAGCACCAGAGTGCCCAGCTTTTTCGGACTTGTTTAGAACAATTGGCAGAGCTTAACTGCAACTTAGAAGGAAATGTGTTTGTCATCAGGTCCGCAGGCACCTCCAGATTTCATGGCCACTGAGAGACATTGTAGTTACATGACTTCTCCAGTGGCCACAAAGCTCCTTTGAGTTAAATGGAAAACAAGAAGTATTGCAAGGCTGAGATTTAGAATCCTTTAAGTTGGTTGCTTTCTTCTGAGTATACTTTCTTCAAAGTACATTCGAAGATAGCATTTGCTGGACTACCCTGGTGGTCCAGTGATTAAGACTCCGCCTTCCAATGCAGGGGGTGCAGGTTCAATCCTGGTTGCGGAACTAAGATCCCAAATGCCACGGGGTGAGGCCAAAAATTAAAATAAAAAGATAGCATTTTCCCTGTCACTCTAGCTAGAGTGGAGGTGTTACAGAGGAAAAGCTGAAGTGCAGAGCGGGGAAGGAGATCCAAAGTCACATCATTTGTCAGGGCTTGAGTCAGATTCAGAACTCTACATCTCTTATTTGTAAACTGAAAGCCAAACTGTGTGGATCACAATTACCTTTACGGGGTGTGAAGCATGTACCAACACCTTGCCTGCATTGTGTCATGTATGAGATAACTGTCATTGTCCTCATTGTGTAGATGATGGAACTGAGGTTTAGTGAGGTCAAGTCCTTGCAACGGGCCACACTGCTGGTGAGTGATGTTGCCTGGGTTTAAATCCAGCTCTGATCTCCCTCCAGAGCCCATCCTCTCTCCACTATGTGTGCTCCACTGGCTCTCAAGATCTCTGGGCATCTGTCTGTCAATTCCAGGGGTTTTGTCACTTTTTAAAAAAGAATAAAGAGCTCGCTTTCATTTTCACTGATCCTCAGCTAAAGGTGTCTCATTCCCTCCCTGCTCTGGTAGCTGGGGAGATTTGCAGAACTACAGCAGGTCAAGAAAAAATAAGACTTACATCTGTAAGCCGGATTCGGGCTGCCAAGGGAAAGGTATATTCATCACCCGAACAGTGAAAGAAATCAAACCAGGGGAGGATATGATCTGTCAGCTCTATATCTCAAAGGTACTTCCTCATCATGACTATTTATTTATCATCCACAGCACCCTCAGGCTGTAGCTTCACTGTGAAACTAGGGAAGGGAGGGTGGGGAGGGAGTGATACAAATCTTCTGCCTTATACTTGGTCAGACCAAGCCTTCTGACTGGAGAGATGACATGTGCCTAGGCCAGAGTGCCCTTGGAGGTTGGTCTGGCCCTGCCAGGCTGGCCCCTTGCCTCTAACAAACAGCCTCCAGAGACACTGATCTCTGGAAATCCCACCTCCTTTGGGAGAGAGGAGTAGGCCTGGAGAGATCAGGGTAGCCAGCTTTACTGCGTGGCTGGAGATAAAGCCCGGTACAGAGAGGGAGCCTTCTAGAAGGTACATGGAAGGGACACCTGGCTGGCACTTCCATCAGCATTGCAACTGCAGGGAGAATTCTGGCAGAAGGGCGGCAGGAGCATACACAGTCCTGGATGGTGACACATGTCCTTCATCACAGGACTTTTTCGTGTTATTTTGTCTCATTGCCAGGAGAGCTCTTCAGCGTAGTTACTTGTGCCACTCGACAGATCAGGAAACACAGGCCAGGTGTGCTTTAGTGACTCCCACCAGGTCACATGATGGGTCACAGGGCCCAGGCCCCACATCTCCCTCTCCAGTCCCGGCCCAGGCCACCCTTTTTTAAACACAGGCCACATTGGGACTGACGCCACAAAAGGCAAGACAGGGCCCCGATGAGCTTCAAGCCTGGGTTTCTCCTCTGATGCTGTGTGGCTCCTGTTCTCTCCTTCCAGCCCTTTATCATTGACGGGTTCAAGTTCGACTTACGGATTTATGTGCTCATGACATCCTGTGACCCCCTCAGGATTTTTGTATACAATGAAGGACTGGCACGCTTCGCCACCACCTCTTACTCCCATCCCTGCACAGACAACCTGGTGAGCTCGGGGACATGCTGCCTCCACTTCCTCTTTAAGCTGGTAAAAAACCCTGGTTACACCTGCATTCTCAAGGCATGTTGAATGTGGCCGTCCCTTGCTGGACTCTCAATTACCGTGTGACAGGATGTATCTGTTCTTGGATTTAGCCTTCCCAAGAGCCCTCAGAAATAGGGATTATCATCTCCAGTTTACAGATGAGGAAACTAAAATCCAGTTATAAGGACAGCAGAACTAGGAAAGTCCAGGACCTTGGGCCAAGGTCCAAGTTCACAGAACTAGGAAGAGGTGAGGATAGGACTCATGGCCTGACTGTAAAACCACAGTTCCATGGTACTCAAAAAAAGGACATGGGCAAGCCCCCAGCCCTCCCCCGACATCCCTGGCCCCAGGGTTCCTCAGGTCTTCCTCAGCAGAGTGCCACTCAGCCTCTGGAGTGGAAGTATCATGCTCCAGGCTGTAGGGTACCCCTTCTTTCTTCCTCCTTTTTGCCAGTGTATGTAAGCCGTAAGACATCCTCTTGCTTTTCCTTCTCTTTAAGTCCCAGGGCCCACGGGAGGGCGCAGAGAGGAAGTGGGAAGCTGCACTTCCTTCTGACCCCACAGACTTGTGTCTCTTTCCCCAGGATGATATCTGCATGCACCTGACTAATTATTCCATTAATAAGCACAGTGCCAATTTCCTTCAAGATGCTCACTCTGGCAGCAAGAGGTAAGGAAGCGGTTCCCCTTCTCTTTCCCTGCTGGACTCAGAGCTGCTCTCTGCGATTCTACTCAAATCCCATCAGTCCCTATCAGTGTTTCTATCTCAGATCATGTGGTCTCAGAAAATATTTCTTTTCCTCTAAACCCAGAACAGACGCCTTAGTCTCTGCCTTCTGGCTGTTAATCATTAAAAGAAGGTCACATCATAAACCCTAGGGGGTTGGGAGGAGGAGAGATAAACATGAACTGTTTCCCCAGCAGGATACACACACACACCAAAACATACTCATATTACAGTTGGCCCTTCTGACATTTGCAGACCAACAGCTATTTATCGATTGCTGGTCTGCCACCCGAGAAGGACCTGCCAGGCCTGGGGTTCCCTGGGGTGTTGCTCCAACAGAGATTCTCAAATGATGTGGCATGATGTCCTGATGTGACATGACCTGTGGCTAGCTGGCTGGAAGTTTCCCCAGAAGAATGGGGGGAAATGGGAGGAATGCATGAGTCTTTTCCCCAGTGGTTTTTACATTTCTCTTGTCATCTAATCCTGTCTCATTGATCGTTTTTTTTTTTTTTGTCTCATTTAGTTTTAAGATGACTAGGCTAAAGGGAAGGGCAAGGAAGGCCTGTGTGGCGGGGCCCATGTTGGTGCTTTGAGTGCATGTTTTTTTTCATTGAATTTTCATAATACCATGGCAGAGGTGCCATCACCTCCCTCTTGTAGGTGGACAACTATGAGTTAGGCACCACCTCCATTTTATAGATGAGGAGAGCGGGCCTCTGAGAGGTTAAATAAGCTGCTGAAAATTACAGGCTATAAATGCTAGAGCTGGACACAAATGTCACTCTGTCAGATTCCAAGGCGCATGATCTTTCTCTTGTATCAGGCTTAAAGGACTGATAAATAGAGTCTGTTTGGCTTCAGAGCATCAGAGAAGCACAGGAAATTTCACAACTCCCTCGGCAGCAGAGTTCCATAAAGCAAAAGGAAAGTCAGTAGGTTAAGCCTGCTGGAAGGGGACATGTCGGGTGGATAGGTGATCTCCCCCTTGTCCTAGAGTGCCAACCACCCATCTTGTCCACAGCTCCCTGACCTCCTCTTTGCCCACCTGATCCTTGGGGACCCACTGGCATTCTGCACTGTTCCGTGTTGAATATCAGGGCTTGGCGAGGCCCAGCTTCTAGTCCCTGCTCTGACTCTCGCTGGCTGAGTCATCTGGAGCAAGTCCGTTCACCTCTATGAGGCTCCGTTTCTTGGTCTGTAGGATGAGAGCAATGAGATGCCCTGCCCTGCCCACCTCATAGGTTCACTCCAAGCCTCACGTGACCTGTGAGAGCACCCAGACAGTGCTCTTAATTACTGTGGTTTCTCTTTAGTCTAAAGGCATGTAGTTAAAGGACCATCATCCCCCTCCTCTTATAAGAACAAACACCCCACTAACAGACTTTGGGCACTCAGGCTGTGATGGGTGGTGTATGTGGTGCCAGGACCAAGGTGGGGGTGTAGAGTATTGTTCTGCTGCCTTTATTCTCCCTCCTTCCTTCCTCTTCTTTTGCTTTGCCTCTCTCACCCAGGCCTGGCCTCACTGCTCTGCTCTTCTCCATGCCCCTCTCTGCTGGAGCCCCCTCTCCTACCTGCCCCTGCAGTCCCCCACTCACCCTTTCTCTAGGCCCATCTCTCCTCAGCTGCACCTGGATGTCTCAGTGTTGCTTTCTGCTCAGCATTTCCCAATGTCCTGAATCCTCTCTCCTCATGTCCACCCCAGCAGTCCAAGCTTCCCCCTCTCTACCTGCTGACTCACAGGATTGGAGAGTTTGGTATCATCTCAGATGTTTCCTTTTTCAGCAAATCATTAAATTCTGAAGTTCCTTCCTTCAAATGTCCCCCAGTCCTTTCCTTTCCACCAGGCCCCAACCTTGGTTCAGCCTCTTCCTTGACTGTTGCATGACCTCATCACTTCTCTTTAGCTCCAGGCACTTCTGCTTAACCTTTTTGTACATCCGATTTCTCATCTTTGAAATGACGAGATTGGGACATCCCTGGTGGTCCAATGTCTAAAACTCCGCACTCCCATGCAGGGGACCCAGGTTCAATCCCTGGTCAGGGAACTAGATCCCAGATGCTTCAACTGAAAGATCCGGAATGCCACATCAAAGGCTCGGTGTAGCCAAACAAATAAATGAAATGACATGATAGGGAGTTCCCTGGTGGTCCCGTGGTTGGGATTCCGAATTTCCACTGCAGGGGGCACATGGGTTTGATCGCTAGTCAGTTCACTGATCAGATCCCACAAGCCATGCAGTGCAAAATAAATACAAATAGATAAATAAAATAATGCGATAAAGCTGAATCCTGGTCAGCCAGCCCCAAACAGATTTACCATAAGAACTTATTGAGATGATATGTATGAATAGGCCTCAAAAACCATAACCCCCATGCAGGTAGCTCATATTATTATTATACACTTCATATACTCATTACTTCTGCACTCAGGTAACCAGTATGGTTCCAGGTGCCTAGAGCACCAGTTCAAACTCCTCTAGTCAGGCTATGCTTTGACCAGACCCCATTTCCCACTATTATTATTACTACACTAATAGTTACCGTTTTATTTGTTGGGACTTGCTGTCTGCCAGGCACTGCTCTGAGAAATTTATACACCTCGATACATTTAATTCTCACAATGACACTGTTAAGTTGGCATGATTTCCCAAGTTTGCATATTAGGGAACAGGTGTAAAAAGGTTAGGAAACTTGCCCAAGGTTACACAGCTAGAAAGTGGCAGAGCTGGAATTAACTCCTGAGTCTGGTCCATACCCTTAACTACTAGTAACACTGTCTGCACCATCCACTCTGTGGTGTTCTCTCAGGATGTTCTTTTGCTTAATTTTTGATACACAGGCCTTGCTCATTCCCACTTCTCTGCCTTTGCTCAGCTCCAACTGAAAACATAGGGAAACATCCTTGAAGGCCCTTCTGTCTAACTAAGCTCTGTGTTGCCTTCTCTGACCTGGTCCTAGATGCTGGTCCAGCCACATAACCACTGCAGTGTGGGGGAAACCCATCTTCTCTGTGGGCCTCTGTTTCCTCACTTGTCAGATGGGAGGATTGTCTTCCATCTCTAAGGACAAGCCTGTGGAATCTAAGTCTAATCACCCCAGAAGCCTCTCCATCTCTGGACTCCCACCATCCTCCTGGTCAACATCAGCTGTAGCCTGTAACTACTCTTTGCCTGGAGCACATGTTTGTCTTCTGTCCCTAGTTGTCCTTAAGTTCTTTGAGGGTTAGTATGGTGCCCTGGCTTTAGAATCTAGGTGCTTCCCATGTTTTGGGGCAGAGTGTCTTCCTTCTCTCCCTCCAGTTTGCTTTCACCTCTCCTCATTCTCCTCTTCCTCACCTTTTGAAACCATCTGCTTCTCCAACTGACTGCCTCACCTGCCCTAGACTACCCCCTTCCTAGCTTGACACCAGCCATACCCGCAGTAAACCCCCACCAGACTGCAAACTCAGTAGCAGCAGTGAAGAAGAAAAACTGGAAACGTGGCAGGTCTCCGGGGCAGAGACCGGGCCTTATTCATCTTTTAGGGAGCCTGGCACATAGTTGGTATGTTAAATCGAATGGACTAACCACTGGGTGTTATGAATTTACACAGTAATGTCTATTCATTGTGATGTGCCTGAGTCATCAAGAAGATGTTATGTTATGATTCATAATGTCTATTATAAGATGGTAGAGGAGTGTCTAATCTATTTTGGGAATTTTTATTTCCCAGTTAGGCAAATTAAACACATTTTTTTTTTTTTTTTTTTTTTACACTTGAGAGGATTGGCTTCAAGGGATCTGGAACATTCATTTATGAGCAGCACTTCATCCTGGACAATGGCAGATGGGAAAGGCATGCCTCTATACTGAGTGTCTCTGTTTATCTGTTGTCCTATAAATGCATCTTTGGTTGTTTCATATGTGTGCTGGCTCTTCAGATGGTCCTTAGGCTTCCCACAGGAGAGGTGCTGGTTTCTCAGGATCCCCTCATTGCATGAATTTTGCACACACAGCAGTGTGTTTGTCGCTCAGTTGTGTCCAACTCTTGGCGACCCCATGGACTGTAGCCCACCAGGCTCCTCTGCCCATGGGATTCTCCAGGCAAGAGGACTGGAGTGGGTTGCCATGCCCTCCTCCAGGGGATCTTCCCGACCCAGGGATCAAACCCATGTCTCTTATATCTCCTGCATTGGCAGGTGGGTTCTTTACTACTAGTGCCACCAGCAGGCCCTTAGTAAATGTGCATTGGCTGCACTGACTGGGGTCCAGCTCTATGGACTGCCTGGTTGAGCTGTGTTTCCTGTCTTCTCGTTCTTCTCTTTCCTTTTCATTCTCCTGCATCACCCATATTTCCTCCTCCAGTGTTTTCACTTCCTACTTTGGTTCTCTGTGCACACGTGTGTGTGTGTGTGTGTGTAAGGGGGCGGGTATCTGTCCCCACCATTGCCTTTTGGACCTGTCAGATTTGTCCTGTCTCTGTACTGTCCAGCTCAGAGCTGACTGGAGCATTTCCTCATGAACTTCTCTGCAAGGGGTAGATATTCTCTGCTATCTGTGACAGGGGGACCAGCCATCTTGGTTTGCCTGTGACTGAGGGGTTTCCTGGGATGTGGGACTTTCAGCTGTAAAGTCAAGACTATCTGGTTTGCTTGGGACAGTGGGTAACCCTATCTGTTGAAATGCCCTGGGGTTGCCTTTTCCCTCTGGGCTTCCCTTTAGGGGGTTAACATTGAACAAAATTAACCACATTTCTGTGTCTTTAGTGTCCCCAGAATCCCCTCAGACGGTGGAAGTGGAACCCAGATATCAGTGGCCTTAAGAGACTCCTTAAGTGCTTCTAATGAACACCAACGGCTAAGAAACCATTGCTACCAAGGCAACATTGTGATGTGGGGTGTTGGTTTTTGCAATTTTTAAAATTCATCCATGAAGCTTTCCACCGGGATACTCAGTCCCTGCCCCAGCCCACAGATGTTTTCTCCTACGGGGAGCTGACACAGCTATTACCCTTGCTCCTCAGTGTCCCTCCTACTGGCTCTGGGGCTTTATCCTCTCTAGAAGTTTCTAGTTTCCAGCATTCTACGGCCTTAGATGACCAGAGGTGGGCTGCCCTGCCTCACGGCCCATGGTTTCCTTCCAGGAAGCTCTCCACCTTCAACATGTACATGGAGAGCCATGGCTACAACGTGGCGCAGATCTGGAGAGACGTTGAGGACGTTATTATCAAGACGATCATCTCGGCCTACCCCATCATCAAGCATAACTACCACACCTGCTTTCCCCACCACACACTCAACAGCGCCTGCTTTGAAATCCTGGGCTTTGACATTTTGTTAGATCACAAACTCAAGCCCTGGCTGCTGGAGGTAGGGAGGTTGGGGTGAGGGGTGAAGCTGGCACCTGTTACTGGGGTCAGTTCCATCCCTTCGCCCTCCTGGCTCAGCTAGGATGTTGTAATCCACTTGCCGAGCGTCGGCCTCCCTGGCGCTTGCTGCCTGGGGCGTCTCCCGTTGCTGAAAAGTGGCCACCAGAGGGAGGTAGACGGCTGGGAATTAGAGAATTCCTTGTGCTTTCTTGAGGTCCACCCAGACTTAGAAGCTCTGATCTCAGGCACAGAGTGACTCTAAAGACAGCTCTACCTTTTCTAACAGAGTTGTCTCCGTCACAGAAAGGAGACTTTGTTGTTCATCAAAGCTGGGTGGAGGATATTTGATATCAGATGGAGCTACTGGGCCTGGCTATCTGGGGCCTGGATTCAGTTCCAAGCACCAGCAGAGAACAACCTAGTGTCTGTGGGCATAGAAAAGGGCAGGGAGCCACTCAGTGAGTTTCCTGTCTCCTCCAGCCCCATGGGGTGATGGGAAGAGGAGGAAGAGAAGCTTCTGGGTGTCTGCATCTCTTCCTGACTGCACCTGTGCAAGCAGGCCTCTCCCATGGCTCTTCAGTGTACACACCAGAAGCAGGGGCAAGGGCAGGGCTGTGGTACAAGTCAGAGGTGATGGTGACGGCTGCCAGTGATACAGAGGCAGCCTGCAGAGGGGAGGACCTAGAATTACATATCAAATTCCTGGGGTCTTGCCTTTCCTCCATTCCTTGCCCTTGTTCCCAAGTACGTGTGGGAAGGAGAATATGGCCGTTTAGAGCTCTTACCAAAGAGCAGAATAAACTACCAGGAGCAAGCCTTCAGAAACTGCTAGAAGTCTTCAAATGTCACATAGTGCCTCTGAACAATATGGACTCTTCTGTGAGCAGGAATGAGTCCTTTCAGTCCTCCCACCATCCTGACCCTTAACCCCTATCAGGATCCTGAATGCATGCATCACTCCTTTCCCCTCCCCACCTCCCAGCCTGGCCCTCTGGACTGCCCTCTTCCATCTGGTCTTTGGGGTGCACAGTGAATGGGAGGGAGCAAATGCACCCCAGATGGAGGGGAAACCAAAGACAGACTTGCCATGCTCCTCAGGAATTCAGGACTGAAATAAAAGCTAGTTACACTGGAGGGGTTTCTGCTCCCTCCTTTTTTCACTGGGGCTCCAGTCCAGACCCTCTTTCCCTCTCTCTTCCACTCATTATGGTAGCCAGGGCCCCTAGGTGGGCTCGGGTAGCTCCATGGAGGGGGCACTTAGCTTTGCCCCCTGCTTGCATGCTGCCCAGCCTCCCCAGCTGCCGTCTTGTCCTCACAGGTAAACCACTCTCCGAGCTTCTCCACTGACTCCTGGTTGGATAAAGAGGTAAAGGATAGCCTGCTGTATGATACTCTGGTCCTGATCAACCTGAGAAGCTGTGACAAAAAGAAGGTCTTGGAGGAGGAGAGACAGCGGGGGCAGTTCCTACAGCAGTGTCGTTCTCGGGAGACCAGGTACAGTCATGGGTCAGTTCTAACAAATGATAATCCTGTTTGGAACATAAATTTCTATTTGCAGGATGTGGCAGGTTAAACAGTTTTTCTTGTGGTTATTCCTTTGTTCCTAAAAATAGGAGATTAATTTATAGACATAAGTACATGTGATCAATATAAGTTTGTTAATATCATATGGAGAGATCCAGGGATTACCAATACAAAAAGTAAAACCATCTGTCTTTACAAAAGGGAACATTCGTCTGTCCTCCCCTTGTCACTGTGTTGTGGGGAACACCTCATCCCTGCTGCATAGCATTTGCCTTCGTCCTATAACAGAGGCCTTTGTCTGCAGAGCAAGAAGGAAGTTTCATAGCCTGTCAAGGACTTGGCTTTGCTGCTTTTCAGATCTCACAGTGGCCCCTGCCCTCCTCACAAGCCTGATCCTTTGAACTGATCTTCTGGAAGTAGGCCATGGCATCAGGCCATCTCTGTTCGGATGGCACTGTGTTTCTTGGAGCACGTTCAGGTCTACTGCCTTCCCTGTGAGGAGGGGGCGGGTAGGTGGTAGTGTGGGGGATTGTATGTCCTGCTTTGGGAGCTAAAAAGACCAGTACTCTGGAAGGGGAGCTGCCTGTACAGGTCACCTCGCTGACAAGTGTCGGGTCTGGACACAGATCCTGATAGGTTTGTGCTGCCTGGCATTCCAGGATAACTTCCACTGAACTCTTGGAGAAGGAGGCAGCATCATCTAAGGAACATCCCCTGAATCAGTCTCCTCGTCATGACTTCGCCCTGGATGGCCCAGGGGCTCCTGGTTTCCCTACTATAAAAAGGGCTTATTGATCCTCTGACCTGACTTCCACCTCCTGGGAGGCTCTGAGGGGGAATGAGATCATCAACTCTCATAAAATCTCATCAGGCTTATCCAGGTTTATCCAAGCCCTCAAGTTTAGCCAGGTTCTCCAGAGGAGAGTAGCAGGGACTGTGATTGGAAAGGTGACAGTCTGCCTCCCATTAGAAGCTAAGCCAAGAGAGAAATGGGCTTTACTTGTAATGGGAGAGAATTTGGTGAGCTGTCAGGAAGACTGTTCTAACCGGCTCTTAGTGGTTATGACACCGGCTGTCCCAGGAGGGCTAGAATCTCCTTTCAGGAAACGTTCATGTATTCATTTACTTAGGAAACGCTGGTTGAACACTCTCGCATGCAAAGCCTTGGTCTCGCCCTAGATGACACCCGTGTCCTTGGAAAGGCCATGTCCTTTCTAAGCTTGGTCCCAAGAAGACCTAACTGCCGCCCTGCGTTCTGCTTCCCAACAGGAAAGAGGAAGTCAAGGGCTTTCAGGCCGTGCGTGTAGAGAAAACTGAGAAGTATGAAAAGGAAAACTGTGGAGGGTTCCGCCTGATTTATCCCAGTGTGAACTCGGAGAAGTATGAGAAGTTTTTCCAGGACAACAACTCCCTCTTCCAGAATACAGTTACCTCCAGGGCTCGGGAGGTCTATGCCCGGTAGGAAGGCTCCTGGGGTAAGGGGGGCTGGGTGTTGGGGGAAGAGGAGATTGTGCTTGACCTACGGTGTGACCTTGGGGCAGCCATGAAGTTGTTTTAGTCTCAAAAGGACCAGGAATCATAAGGTTCCTTGGTGTGGGATGTTGGTAAGTAGATATGAAGCTGTTTCTACAAACTCACACCTAAGATAGCCAGCCCAACCCCACTCCCAGAAAGCCCAACCCCTCAGAACTACCTCCTAGATTCATTCAGGTATCAGATCTAAGGACTGGAAGGGACTCATCCCATTTCACCCATTTCACCCATTTCATGGAGCAGAAAAATGATCATCCAGCAGATAATGACAGAAGAGGCTCTAGAAGCCCTGTCCCCTGAGTCCTGTAACTGAGTTATTTCCATCACATCATTGGCCAGAGAGGCCCAGCATATGAAGGGGTTTGATGTGGGAGCCCCTGATTTTATCCTCCTACCCAGACCCTCTCCCTAGTACTTGTCGGTTGTGTGATCTGGCATACTGGGAAGGGAGAAGAGAGATGGGGTGGTCGAGTGGGGTGCTGCCCCCCACCACATCTCTCCCTGGGCTAATCCCAGATGGGAAGTGGTATGGTTGGAGGAAGGACTGTCTCCTCCATCTCTTGCTTTGGAACCCTCAATCATTTGGACACACTGGGGCAGGGAAGATGGAGCACTCCCCCTCCTTGCCCGGTCTTGTCTGCCCCTCAAGAAGTAAGTCCGTAATATTCATAGCCCATCCCTAACCTGCATGATACTCACTGTTCCTTACTGGGCAGGCGGCTGATCCAGGAGCTGAGACTGAAACAAGAGAAAAAATGCTTGCAAATGAAACAGAAGAGGGTAGAGATGCATGGGGAATCGGCAGGCGAGCAAGCGAGAGGCAAGAGCTGGCAGAGCTGGCGACAGAAACAACAGCAGAAATGCAAGACTGCCCCCAACCAGACCTCCAAACAAGTAAACGTGGATGGGAGGGGAACGTGCATGCCCAGTACACTTCCCCGGCTGGGGCCAGTCCAGGGGGGGATGCTGAGAAGATCCCTACTGAGAACTCAGAAACACTGAAGGAATGGGGGCCGCATGGAGGGCTGGGCCCCAGGAGGGGGGCCTGGAAGTCACAAGGAGCCCTGCGGCCTTCAGAGGATCCCTCCATCCAGGCAGAGAGGACTCGCGCTGTTCTGTCCTTCTCCCTTCAGTAGGAGTAAAAGGGCTGGGAGGCTGAGGACCAGCCCCATGTGGGAGTGGGCTCTAGGACTACCTTACTCATGGTCCCCAACTCCAGTTAGGTTGAAATGCCCCCTTCCTGCAGGCCAGGGGCACAACTGAGAGAGAAGGCTACAGGGAAAAACTTTGGGGGGCAGGACCTCAGAACATTACAGCAGGGGGCAGAACACAGCTGGTCTTTCTAGCCTTCTCTCTGCTCCATGTATGGACTAGCCTCCAGGCTGGGGCCAGCTGTCCAGTTGTCCCGCGATCTCAGTCTCTGGAACCCCCTTCTTGGCCTAGCTCTCTCTCCTTGCTCAGTGGAAAGATTCAGTTGACTTTTCAGTCTCTCTCCTTCTTAAAGACTTACCTGAAGTGACAGGATTAGAAGTGTTTTTTTTTTTTTTGTTAGGGTCATAGACCCTCTGAGAATCTGATAAAAGCTATGGAATCTCTTGCTATAAGTAACTGCAGTTTTAAGTGGTTCAAAGATCCTGTGAAGCCATCCATGAGCCCTCTAGGGGGTGTCCTTGAACCCTAGGTTAACAGCCCCGGCTTAGAGAGACTGATTCAGATTGCTTTCCTCTCCTCCTGATCTCCTTTGCACCTACCCTTGGGTGCAGATAATCTAGAAGTGGACAGAGCTCAGTTCCCATGGGCTGTATGTTTGGTTTCCTTCTTCCCAGTATCTCCAGCCATTGACATTGGTGTCCGGCACACCTGACTTGCTCTCGAGTGTCAGACACACAGAGAAAAATGAAGCAGATAGCAGCCTTGACCAGGAGGCCCCCAAAGAGGAGGCTGATCCAGCACCCTGTAAGCCTTCATCTTCAAGGCCTTACAGCTCTGTACCTGACTTGAGGAATTCAGGTCTTCTCAGCTGCTCCAGGCCAGAGCTCAGTAAACCCATCTCCAAAATGAAGGAAGCCAAGTCTACCTCTGCAGTGAACACGATCACCAACACTGTGGTAAGTAGAGCAGGCTGCCTCCCCTGAGGACTGAGCTGGGGTGGGGTGGGGTAGTGGCAGGAGTCTTGCCTTCTGGTCCATTCTCTGCCCCTGACTTACTATGGCCCTTTGAGTAAGCTGCCTACCCCTTCTCAGGCCTCAATTTCCCCACTTGTGAAGTCCAAGTTGTGGAATGACACTCCTGCTAAGAGTCTAGACCTATGCTATAGGGCTTTTAGAAAGGAGGCATGCCCTCTTTTGGGCAGGTTACCACCTGTTGTATTAGTTTCTGTAGGGCTGCTGTAACAAATGACCATAAACTTAGTGGCTTGAAACACAAATCTCTTCTCTCACGAATCTATTCTTTAGATCAGAAGCTAAAGATCTGAAAACAAGGTGTTGACAGGGTCATGCTCCCCTCTCTAGGGAGGATCCTTCCTTGCTTCTTGCTAGATTCTGGTGGTTGCTGTCCAATCTCTGCCTCTGTCATCACATGGACTTCTTACTTGTGCTTCTTCTCTGTGTTTCTTCACATGGCTTTATCAGGATACCAGTCATTGGATTTAGGGCTTACCCTTATCCACTATGGGCTTATTTTTAACTTGAGATCTGCAAAGATCCTATTTCCAAGTAAGGTCACATTCTGAGGTTGTGGGTGTACACAAATTTTAGGAAGTTGTTGTTGAACTCAGTATAGCACCTCAACAACACTTCCATTTGAAACAATGGAGTTTCAAACTCCATTGATGTATGGACACCTTTTGATGGAAAGAAACCTCTTTCAGATTCCAATTGTAAACAAATTATTTTTTTTAATATATACAAGCATAAAATAAAATATAGGTATAGGTATAAAGCCTTTATACATATAACTCTTGAAGTGAAGTGAAAGTTGTCTAGTCATGTCCTGCTCTTTGCAACCCCATGAACTATACAGTCCATGGAATTCTCTAGGCCAGAATATTGGAGTAGGTAGCCATTTCCTTCTTCAGGGGATCTTCCCAACCCAGAGATCAAACCCACATCTCTCGCATTGCAGGTGGATTCTTTTTCATCTGAGCTATCAGAGAAGCCCACCTATAGCTCTTGCTCCATGCTAAGTTGTTGCAGTCTTTTCGACCCTGTGCATTGTAGCCCACCAGGCTTCTCTATCCGTGGGATTTCCCAGGCAAGAGTACTGGAGTAGGTTGCCATTTCCTTCTCCAGAGCATCTTCCCTACCTAGGGAAGACCCAGTGTCTCCTGCATTGGCAGGCAGGTTCTTTACCACTGAGCCACCAGGGAAACCTAAAGCTCTTACATAGCTACAAAACAAGAATAAAGCACTTCCTGGTGTTCCAGTGGTTGAGGATCTGCCTGCCAAAGCAGGGACCATGGGTTCAATCCCTGCTCCAGGAAGATCCCACAGGCTTCAGGGCAACTAAGCCTATGCAGCACAGCTGTTGAGCTCATGCTCTAGAGCCTGTGAGCTGCAACTGCTGAAGCCCATGCACTCTAGGACCCAGGCTTTGCAGCAAGAGAAGCCTACACACCACAAAGAAGAGAAGCACCCATTCCCTGGAGCTAGAGAAAGCTTGTGCTCAGCACCAAAGACCCAGTCTGGCCAAAATTAATTAAAAAACAAAACAAACAGCACCAATAAAATCGGCACAAAATATTAACTTCACATGACAGTTGATTTTCTATTTCTGTAGAAACCAAGTTGCCACATAAATGCGGTACTGACAGTCCTAACACAGGTCCTTTTGTATTCACTATACTTAGGCCAACCAAGAGCTTTGTGGTGACTCTACTGGAAAATCTTCAGCACTGTTGGGCCTTCTCTTGGTCTAAGTGCAGTATAGAGTAGTGCAGTGTTTTTCAAATTTCTAACCAGAGCCCATAATAGAAATTCATTTGATTTCATAGTCCATCAAATATACATACATACAATTGGAGAAAAGTTTTTAAAACAGTGCTTAGCCATGCTGCATATAGTGAGTGACTCAATCTTTTCTTTTAAAGATACCAGTTACAACCCCCTAAATTAATTTCATGACCTAGTGGTAAGTTTGCAACCCATAGTTTGATAAACATCTTTAAGAGAGTTTGCTTCAGAGCCTTATCACCTTGGATTTCACAATGATTTCTTGGATATGACACCGAAAACACAAGCAGCAAATGCACAAATAGATAAGTGGGACTACATCAGACTTAAATAATCAACAAAATAAAAAGACAACCCGTGGAATGGGAGAAAATCTTTTCAGATTATATATCTGATAGAGATTAATATCCAGAATATATAAAGAACTCTTATAACACACAACAACAACAAAACCAAACAACCTGATTAAAAAATGGGCAAAGGCTGGGACTTCCCTGGTGGTCCAGTGGTTAGGACTCTATGCTTTCACTGCAGAGGGCACAGGTTCAGTCCCTGGTCAGGAATTAAGAGCCTGCCAGCCATGTGATTCGGCCAGAGGAAAGAAAAAAAAATGGGGTGGGGAGGGAAAATGTCTAATTAAACAGACATTTCTCCAAAGTGAAATTAGCCAGCCACACACACACACACACACACACACACACACAAAATACTGCATGCTTCCACTTATATGAGGTATCTAGAGTAGTCAAACTCTTAGAAACAAAAAGTAGTGGTGGTTGCCAGTGGCTGGTGGGTGGGGTGGAAAAGGGATGTTTAATGGGTCTAGAATTTCAGTTTTGCAAATGAAAAGATTCAAGAGATCTGTTGCCCAACAATGTGCATATAGTTAACACTACTGTACTATACACTTAAAAATGGTTATGATGATAAATTTTATGTTATATGGGGTTTTTTTTTTACTATAATAATTAAGAGTAGGAGTATACTTTGGGAATCTGGCTGCCTCTGTTGGGTTCTTGGGGTCTCCTTTTATTATATACATGACTTCCATCTAGTCAGTCTAATCTTCCTAAACCTTAGTTTCCTCACCTAAAAAATGGAATTTTCATCATAGTACCTACCAATGGATTACTATGAGGATTAAATGAAAGGATCCACAAAAATGCTGTGAGTGGTATTCAACACACAGGAGTCAGTAAGCATTAGCTATTATTTTAATGTTACTGCTACTTCTTAAGACCCCCACTTTGTGTGTGTGTGTGTTTTGCATTAACCCAAGAATTAAAGCAGTACTTTAACCTAAGACTTAAAACAGTACTACTTAACTCTGATGAAATAACAAAATAAGGCAGCTAGCAAAAATTCATTTTTTTTTTCTTTTTTTGGATTTCATGTTGATTTGATCAAAATCATTGGTTCAGGATGTTGTACTATACTTGGTTCATTCAAAGCCTTTGCCTGTTTTATTTACTTGTCACTTTATCCCTATGCTCATCTCCATTCACCTAGCCACCATCTTTTGCTCATATGTTTCCTTGAAAAGAAGAGATTTTTTTTTAAATGCTGGCATTTAAAATTTGTGTAAATGTGACTGGGTTATTTATCTCATTCTATGTCCTATTTTTATTTTTATTGAGCTCTTCTTTTTCTTTTCTTTTTAAAGATTGATTTACATGCATTAAAATAATCAATTTTAGCTGAACAATTCTGACAAATAAATATACCTGTGTGATCAATATCCCTATCATGATATAGAACTTTCTGATATTTCCCCAAAGTTCCCTCTGGCCTTTCCCAGGCAGTTGACCTTTGCTCCCTGCATCCGTCCCCAAAACAGCCACTATCCTGACTCTTTTTTTATCTTAGATTAGTTTTGCCTATTTTCGAATTTTGTGCAAATGGAATAGTATATATTATTTTGAGTGTGACTCCTTTAATTCAGTATTATATCTGTGAAATTCATTCATGTTGTTGGATATATCAGTATTTTGTTCTTTATTGCTGAATTGTGTTCCATTATACAAATACACTGCAGTGTGTTCGTCCTTCTCCTGTTGATGGACATGTGGGTTGTTCCTAGTTTTTATTTTTTTATTGCTATTGTGATTAAAGCTCTTATGAACATTCCTGTATAAGTTTTTTTGTGGACGTAGTTTTCTTTTCTCTTGGATAACTACTTACGAGAAGGATTGTTAGGTCAAAGGGTAGATCTATGTATAACTTTATAAGAACACCAAAGCCTTTATTTAAAGTGATTATAATAGCTTTTGTACATTTCAGCCAACAACGGATGAAGGTACCAATTGCTCTGTGTTTGCTACCATTTGGTGCTGTCTTTTAAACCTTAGCCACTTTAATGGCTACGTTGTGATTTCTTATTTCGGTTTTAATTTGATGATTAAACATGTCAAGTACTTCATCAAGTGTTTATTGGTTATTCATGTATGTTGCTTTATGAGGAGTTTGTTCAAGTTTTTGCCTTTCTCCTTTTTAAGAGATGGGATTTTGAAAAAAATCTCTCTCTATTGCATTTGGTCTTAGTTGTGGCCCGGGGGAGCCTCAACTTAGTTGAGGATCTTAGTTCCCTGACCAGCGATAGAACCCAAGGTCCTCTGCATTACAAGGTGGATTCTTAACCACTGGACCACCAGGGAAGTCTCAGATTAAAAAAAAAAAAACCAAAACTTTTTTTTTTTAACACCAAAAACATCTTGTATTGGGGTGTAGCCAGTTAACAATGTTGTAATAGTTTCAGGTGAACAAGTGAAGGGACTCAGCCATACATATACATGGTAGCCATTCTCCCCCCAAACCCCTCCCATCCAGGCTGGCACATAACATTGAGCACAGTTCCATGTGCTGTACAACAGGTTTTTGTTGGTTATCCATTTTAAATATAGAAGTTTGTACATGACCTTCCCAAAGTCCTTAACTGTCCCTTCCCCCTGGCAATCATGAGTTCATTTTCTAAGTCTGTGAGTCTCTTTCTGTTTTGTAAGTAAGTTCATTTATATCAGATGATATTTCTCCTCCTTGTCTGACTTACTTCACTCATTATGACACTCTCTAGGTCCATTCATGTTGCTGCAAATGGCTTTATCTCTTTCTTTTTAATGGCTGGATAATATTCCATTATATAAATATATATACACCAC